TTGGAGCATAGGTGGGATAGACAGCCTATCTAACTTGCCTTCAATGGCATCCCGTACTATTACAAAGGCTTCTTTGTTAAGACGATAGCGATCTATGAATCTATATATAAACAAATTTCGTATCAGCAACTTTAAAAGTATACACTTACATCGACTCTGGCAGCTCCAACGGATTGCTTTTTTTAAATAATTATAATAAGGATAACGAATACCCTCCACCCGCCCAAAACGACACGGGGGGCGACATATGCATAATGTACGGAATATGCCGACTCATTATTGGGAAAGGTTTGTTAAGCGTCGAGATTTAAAACTGTTCAACTACAGAAAAAATAATTATTTAACAGCTGAAATTTATTAAATATGGAATTTCAAAATTTAATTGTTGAGAGAAGTAAGAAGTTTTTTTTGATGCTAAAAAGGGAATCATGAGAGATCGAAGGTGCTAAAATGAAAATTAAAATTTTGACACAATCTGTTTTTCATTACTTATAGTTATATAGACTAAAGGCCTAAACTGCCTGCCATGAACTTCAGTTTATTTGTTTAAAAATTTCACTACGAACAGAGCGCCTAACATTTTTCTCTGACTTGCAAGCGTAGGTAGACTTAGAAGCTTTAAAGGGTTGGTATAGGAAGGAAAATTTGTCGTAGAGTTGTTGAAATGTCCTAACGAAAAAAGTAAAAATTGTTTTAGAACAGACTCCAGTTTATCAGAATGAACCTGATGATTGGTGTTCCATTTCAATGAGCCGTATTCTAATATTGGCCTCACCAAAGTCGTATAGAGAGCTTTGGTTACAAAAGGGTCTTTGAATTCTTTTGACCATCTTTTAACAAAGGTAAAAGTATTTTTAGCTTTTAAGACAGTGGTATTGACATGAAAATGGAAATTGCGCTTAGATCTCATCCCAAAGCAACAAAGTTCAGGTTCAAGTCTCCCTAGACTCTTGATGAGACAATTATTAATTGTGATAAAGTGTCTTTAAATGTTACCGGTTGTGTTCTATTGAGAGATACAGGAAACCCATTGAAGAGATCTTGGTTGAAAGCCCAGAAGATCTATAGTTTATAGATGAGAATTGAGTTATTCCCCCTATCGAATGCTTTACTGAAGTCGGTGTAGATAACTTCTATCGGTTTTGCTTATCTACGAAGCAATCAAAATTCAACCGGTTTCATAAAACCCTTTCAAACAGATATTAATTTTCAATTCCGATAAATAAGTAATTCTGAGTTGGTTTCTATAACACCCCTGAATATCTTATTACTACAATAATATAAATATTTAGTATGACTCCCCTTAGCATTTGGAATATATGCCAACAAAATCGGTGGTTAAATGTAATGTTGTTGAATTTAACTGACTAATATAAATGATTCCAGCAATAGTAAAGGCAGTAAAAGGTTAAACAGCGGAGTGGAATCATCGCCCGCACACCACCCAGTTTTCGTTGAGAAATTAGAAGTTGGGATGGCATAGAACTAGAATATATTATTATTTCTAGTACAACGATTGATTTTGGATTTCTATAATTTACCAGAAAGCAGTGGCGACCAAAGGAGCCGCATAACAAATTCGAAGCAAAGTCGCTGCTGCGGCCACAATAAGGAGACCACGCCGACGCCACAAAACGAAATATTAGCATCATTGGGAAGGAAAAATAAAGCTCGAATAAACTCTATAATAACGATGAGTTAATATAGACGGCTAACACAGAAAAATAATTTGAAACTTATATTCGTATTTCAGTCATTCTTACTGAAAATCCAAGAGACAAATTGTCCCAAAGCAAGTTCTACATCAATTCTCGTCCTTTTAGAGGACTTTTTGGAAAAACATATTGATATATTTATCGTTGGACGGCTATAAAGAATGTAGAATTTTATGACTATTGAAATACAATAAATTTTGAATACAATTAATAACTTAAAAATGTCACATAATCGCCAATTATATGAAAACACTTTGGAAAACACCGAAAACCAGAAAAAATAAACTATATAAATGAACGAATTCAAAACTAACCACCAAAGAAACAGCTGTTTACAACTTGCTGAGTAATTTTTATGAATACACCTTTACAACAAGCAAACTTCTGGAAAGAGACGACTGACCCATGGGCAAGTTAAAGTTGTTACCTACACATTTTTAGTATGAGCCATTCCCAAAGAATTTTAAAGCCACCAGCACTCTTTTGATTAAAGGCAGTTAGGCTTTTTGGATATCATGTGGAAAAATTCATCTACCAGATGACGGCAGTTTCCCCAAATCAAACGAAAATTTTGGAAAAATTTGTTATCACTTAACGAAAAGGGTAACTAGCGTCTATTTTTTTTTTTTTTTTTGAGTGACGCGAGCGAATCATATTTTCGCAATTTTCCTCTTCGCAAGAGCAAGATGGTGAATTTATTAAGGCTGCAACTACCCATTTCACTCACCAGCCGTCCATAACTGACGACGTCAGTAGTGAAATATATACACGAGTTATCGACGCCGCTGAGAGCGGAGAAATGTTGCCAGCTGCCAGTGTGTTTGCACACTTTTGAACAAATTCATAATTTTCGTCAACAAATTTCATAATTTATTTGCTTGAACATAAACACAAGGCAAATATACATGATCTGTATGGTAACAAATAATTAGTTACGCATTTATTTTTCATTTCTTTTGAACAAAACTACGCATTATCTTCGATTTTTTAATGCTACTTTAAAAAATACTATACTGGCAACCTTGTATAGCAACGAAAAATGAGCCGAGCCGGTTTTACCGGAAAAATCAAAACTTCGTTGGTTTCTGCGACACAAACGTCAGCAACGCTATGGGAAAGCGGTGACAACTTTGTGTTTACATGGCGCTTTCATAAGATAGGTTACTATGGACGGCAGGTACGCGCGTTGGGTAGTTGCAGCCTAAGTGCACAGAATAGGCCAAGGTGAATTTATAAAGATAAAAGCAGGAGAACAAAACAATTGCCGTGTATTTGTTTTTGTCTAATTCATGACAAATTCATAAAATTCGCTTTTGTCAAATTGAATTAATAATTCAAAACTAGTTCAGTCAGAAAAGATTAGGTAAAAATCAAAGTTTACTTAGATGGCAGAATGAGATCACGGAAAACGTGACCAGACAGCTATGGCTCGATGAAAAAAGTCACAAAACTTATTTGAAAATTTTCTGTTATACAATCAGAAATTCAAAATAAAAATAACAAAAAATCAAAATGTAAACAAACATACAAAACATAAACAAACAATTTGACTATCTTTACACTGAAGCGAATTAATTAAAAGAAAAAAGTTGAATTCGCTGCCTAGTAACTCCACCTTGTTAAATTCGCCTTGGAATAGGCGTGCGAAAAAAAAAATGTGAAAAAACCATATCGAAACATATGAATCATCTTATATATATATATATACAGCCATGGTCATGCAAATAGCTCAACTTTCCTTCCGATACATAATAATAATGAAACAAAGGGATATCTGTGCTTGAAATATGAAAATATTGTAACGATGTGTTCACTCAGTTATTATTTAACACAACCTTTATACAAAAACTTTAATAATCATTCAATGAAAATTTAAAATAATTTTAAGTCTGAGTCTGATCACTCAAGTAGCACATTTTGCAAAACTTGTAATTATAATTTCAAATATACAAGACCATATACCATTACTAGTGTTAAGTAGGTCTTATCTATTAGTATTTTGTATTGGGTTGCCCAAATAGTAATTGCGGATTTTTCATATAGTCGGCGTTGACAAATTTTTTCAACGGCTTGTGACTCTGTAATTGCATTCTTTCTTCAGTCAGCTATCAGCTGTTACTTTTAGCTTGCTTTAGAAAAAAAGTGCGCGAAATTTTGTTTACATTTGTTTGTTTGGCGTCAATTTTAATATGGAGCCCACAAAGGAGCATTTTCGTCATATTTTACTTTATTATTTCCGTAAAGGAAAAAACGCGGAGCAGGTTGCTAAAAAGTTACGAGATGTGTATGGTGATGAAGCCTTAAAAGGAAGACAGTGTCAAAATTGGTTTCGCAAATTCCGTTCTGGAGATTTTTCACTTAAAGATGAGCCACGTTCAGGTCGGCCAAATGAAGTTGATGATGACCAAATCAAAGCATTAATCGAATTGGATCGTCATGTAACTGAGCGTGAGATAGGAGAGAAGTTAAATATACCAAAATCAACCGTTCATTATCACATAAAAAGTCTTGGACTGGTGAAAAAGCTTGATATTTGGGTACCACATGTATTGAAAGAAATTCATTTAACACACCGAATCAACGCTTGTGATATGCACCTTAAACGCAATGAATTCGATCCGTTTTTAAAACGAATCATAACTGGAGATGAAAAATGGATTGTTTACAACAACGTTAGTCGAAAACGATCATGGTCCAAGCATGGTGAACCAGCTCAAACCACTTCAAAGGCTGATATCCACCAAAAGAAGGTTATGCTGTCTGTTTGGTGGGATTGGAAGGGTGTCGTATATTTTGAGCTGCTTCCAAGGAACCAAACGATTAATTCGGATGTTTACTGTCAACAATTGGACAAATTGAATACAGCCATCAAGGAGAAGCGACCAGAATTGGTCAATCGTAAAGGTGTCATATTCCACCAGGACAACGCTAGACCGCACACATCTTTGGTCACTCGCCAAAAACTGAGTGAGCTTGGCTGGGAACTTTTGATGCATCCACCATATAGCCCTGACCTTGCACCATCAGACTACCATTTATTTCGATCTTTGCAGAACTCCTTAAATGGTAAAACTTTCGGCAATGATGAGGCTATAAAATCGCACTTGGTTCAGTTTTTTGCAGATAAAGGCCAGAAGTTCTATGAGCGTGGAATACTAAATTTGCCAGGAAGATGGCAAAAGGTTATCGAACAAAATGGCAATTATATATTTGATTAAAGTTCATTCTAAGTTTTATTAAAAATGCATTTACTTTCTTTTAAAAAATCCGCAATTACTTTTTGGGCAACCCAATAGATAACATAAGTAACTATTATACATTTTTTTATTTAGAAAAATACCGTGATTTTCCTCAGAAGAGTTACATTTTCTCGTATGATGCACTCTGTGCTATTTGCGTGACCATGGCTGTATATACAAGGAATTTTATGTTGTTAATATTAAATATTTGTCTTTTATTTTAAATGTTAATTTTCTTATAATGCAATTTATCAGTTATAATAAATCGTTGTTGTTTCTAAATTAATAATAAAACTCTCTGTGTTTACAGATTGAAGACATAATGGAGAAGTCTCTACTCGATTTGAATGACGACTGCCTCATAGAAATATTCAAATACCTCAGCCTCGTGGAAACATTTAATTTAATGGACATTTGCAATGCTCGACTATCAAATATTGCGCGACAAAGGATCTCGACAATCAAGAAGCTAAATATTAGAGTACGAGAATTTCATAACCTCAACTCGAAACAATTAAAAATAATTGGCGAAAATCTAAATGACCTCACTATAAGTGCCGGATATTCGATACCCGCACATGTTGTATTAAATATATTACAGCCTATTTGTGAAGGAGCTGCTGTAAGTGGGAAAATGAGTGCTTTTGCATTGAATTATATATTTATCGATAAAGCATACAGTCAATGCATCGCCAAAGTAGCTTCAAATCTGCAAAAGTTGAATTTAAATAATTGTCAACTAACAGATGAACTTTTAACAGAATTGTTAAGAATATGTTGTAATTTAGTAGAACTACAAATTTTAGGCAATTACACATTGAGTGGAAATTTTTTGCATAATCTGAATTTACCTTCATTGCGCGTACTGAAGCTAGAAATGCATGCGGAGTGGATCTATCCCATTGCAGAATTTAAAATTAAAAATCCAAATGTGACATTGCTAACATAAATGCGGAAAATCTACAATCCATTGTAATGCACATATTTAATGTTTTATATTTATACTCGTATGTACGTGTATATACGAAACGTTCGACTTCAATTATGAAAATTACAAGATAAGGAAAAAAGAAATAAATAAAACTTCGATTATGTATTATAAACCCTTCTTTATTGTTTACAGAGTTAAGACATATTTTGCCTTCAACGGAATACAAAACAAACTAAGCAATTTTACGTATATCATAGCTATAAAGTGATGTTGGACAGGGCTTATACTTGGGCGCTATGCAGACGTTACAGAGAAGGAACGCAAATAAAAGTGGCTAAAAAAGTTCAAAGACTAATTTAAGTCCCGTCATAGGCGCCAACTTGTAATGCGCACCTTTGCTTAGTTATAAATTGCCTGTTTCCCTACGTTTGCGTAGCTTTAAAAGTTATATATATATATATATATATGTAAAATAAAATATGCATGTTGTAAATGTAATTGGAAATGTTATTGGTGTTGTTTAAGTTGCTGAACAGTTGGTTTACTGGCTTTTTGATGACAATATATTTGATTTGAAGTTGATTTGTCTCATGCAATGCTACTACAAGCTCACACATTAGCTTTTTTTACTACATTCCTTCTTTTTGTAGAACTCCTTAATGAGGGTTTTTAAGTACTTAGCCTCGCGTTGACGCTCAGCCAATACACGTTTCAACTCTTCGTTACGCTGTGTTAATTGTTGCTCCTCATTCAGTACGCTCTCCATTTCAATTTTTTTCTTCTGCCGATAACGTGTTGCTGCATTCTTATTTTGCTCTTTTTTCCGGATTTTACGATCCTCAACGCCACGTCCATATGGGCGTGTACGCTTTTTGGGACTGACACTTTTTTTCAAAACAAATTCAGAGCTGTTATCATCATCCGCGCCATTGTAAATAGGTGAAGAGCCGCCAGATGAAGAAAACGAAGAATCAGGTGACCACTCTTCATCGGTAACTATAGATTCTGGGCGCGTTGCTGTTGAATAAGTTGATGATGAATTAGATTCGCAGTCATAATTTAAGTCTGGCAATTCCTTAATAAATGATTTCAGAATATCATCGACGATTTGTGAATTACGTTTGTCATCATCAGTTTGTGCAGCCTCAGAGGGTGTGTACGGTGTGGCATTGTAGAAAGGAGTAAAATGTAGACTTCCCACAGGCGACGAAACGCCGTGTGTTGCAGATGGTGTAACAGATGTGGACACGGGACTTAGTGCTACTGGTGGTGATTGTTGAAAAAAGTTGTTGAACTGTTATAAAAAAAATTAAATTAAAGAAAAATGTTAATATTCAATGAATAATTGTAAATTTACAAAAATGTACTGAAAATACTAAGATTATATTTTTGTAAATGTGTGGTTTTTTAACTAAGCAATACTTTTTTCGGAGATTGGCGCCGCAACAATTAAAGTTATTACTTACAAAATCCTACTCGTGCAGGAATTGAAGCCGAACGACCATCGCTCGCATCACAAAACGTGACGGCCACTGGTCGATTTTTACAAGAAAATTTTGTTCAACGATGAAGCTCACTTTTGGTTGAACGGGCTCGTTAGCGGTAAAAAAAAGGACCTCTCGGCTGTAATTTATTTTAGCCAATCGTGATAATAGCAAACTTTTATCTTCATAAGAAAACTAAATTCTTGAAAATAAAACCACCACATGTCTAAAAAACATACTTCATAAAAACATCACAATTTTTAAGTCCCCTATAAGACTGACAGGGAGTTTCCACCCCTCCGAGTATATTTCGGATATGAAATAAAGGCTCCTCGTAAAATAACCATCAGCCGTTCGGAGGCGGATTAGTATGAACTTTAGGTCCCTCCATTTATTGGAAAAACATCAAGACGTAAAACCACAAATTTGAGAAGGAGCCTCGGCCGAAAAATCGCTACAGCGGTTACAAAGCGCCAATTATATATACATATGTACATATATGTACATATATAAGACTGACGACAATCAAAAACAACAATGGCGAGAATTTCGGAGAGCTAAAGACACCGCAGTGGAGACTAATATAGATATTTAATATTTGAAGGTATTTAAAAATCGACGGTGTTTAAGTCAGAATATTAGTAAGGAGGTAATTTTTAAGTGAAATATATCATAAAGATCGTTTGAAATTCGCTAAGAATTATGTGCAACTCGTCTTTGTTGACGAGGCAGTGAGCTCTGTGGGAATAAGTCGCATTGATGACATTATTAATGCAAGCTATTATATTAAGTTTAGTAAAAAAGGCATCCATTATTTTTGCATTAAATTAAAGACTTTATTTGCCATAGTTAGAATTAGCCGATTTATGTCAAACATGCACCGTTTTTTCGTTTCAAGGTAATATCATTAGGTTCCTCTCATAAAAATTCTTATCCCTATTGGCGAATTGGCAAACAATTGGGCTCCGATAACCACCAACGAACCATGGAAGCAAACCCTTATAACATCGGAAAAAGTAAGTCACTTGTGTTGGAGATTCTTGTTAAAAGTGCGCCAGACAAGATTAGAGCAATAAAGTGGTTTATGGCACACAGAAAAATATATTAGTTAGTTTTATTTGAGTTTGCAAATTTAATTTTTAGTTGTGTGATTATTGTAATTCCTCCATATGTACAATATGTGTATGTACATTCGCATTTCAAAAACCACATTCACAATCGTTTATTGAATATTTGAAGTTTTTGTGTGTGTGTAAATCGTTTCTTATTTATTGTACATACAAATGTCATAGATGAAAAAAAATATACTTACATTTACTGCACCTTCCGTAGCAATTGCATTTTGCAAAATCGCTGCCGATCTAGCAGATTGCGGAGGAGATTGTGGTGGTGTTAAAGTGGTCAATACTGAAATCTCAAAATTTTCAGTTTTCAAAGCTTCATTGTCGATAGTGTTGTGTACTTTTGTTACCACATTGGGATGAGTGATGGCTGCATCGCAATCTAATAGTGGCAATTTCTTTTCGGGCCACTCTAAAATCAAAAATAAATAAAAAATAAAATAATTAGTTATCGGTAAATATAAAACTAATTAAACAAGTAATTAATTAATTAAGAAATACATTTATAACTGCCAAGTACAAAAATTAATATTCTATGCTTTTAAAGATTGTTCAGTTCAGGATTCAAAGCCTAATGTTTAATAATATGTGCTAACCACATGGTTACTCCGGCCGCCAAAATACAGATTAAGACATTTTTGCACGGTTTGACATAAAAGAAATGACGTTCGCTAGTTCCAAAGAAAATAAAAACAGAAACTTTCAGCCAAGACTGTGCTGACGGGTGAAACGATCCCATTCAATTATATAAGCATATATATGTATTTATATATAGTGTTATCCATTTCGGGGTGTCAAAAGTACATGGGGCTATATTTTGATATCTGTCAAACTTAACTGTCAAACCAAAAATATTTTGTTTTGATAAAAGTTACGCATTTATGAAAATTACCAAACACAAAACGCGTTAATATTATTAAAACCTATTACATAAATGGGTACGAAATTTTAATAGACTGGGTCGGGTACTGACGTTGTAAGGGCTGTACATCATCGTTTTACTCATTATCACCTCAGATATCGCTACTGTAAGTGAATGTGTACTTCACCTACGCCCATATAAAGTCCAGCTCACACTAGAGCTAAAGCCAGCTGACTATTTACAACTCCCGCACATACGACTATTGGAAATTTTAACAACAACCAATGGGGACGGCGATTTTTCGAATAAAAAGCACTCGGAGGATACGTAAAAAATTGATAACCAACTAGAAGTCAGAAATTAACAGCATTATCTATGGAGAAACAGATAGTAATACGCTTTTAAATATTTTTTTCGGCTTTTACACTATTACAATGCTTGAAGGCGCCTGCAGCCTTCCGATTCTTTACAACTGGCTGCTACCAACGTTCCGTCGGAGAACAATAGGGAATACCCATAAGTCAGTCGTCAGTAAGTTATTGTATTCATCGCGTGACAGAAGCAGTCAACCGTTCAATGTTGCCTGCGAAGGTTAGATTTCCCATTACGTCCCCATTTGCTGGAGGAACTATTGGGGCTATCGATTGCGTAGAAGAACCTTCATAAATGCCATTCTACCAGCGAGCAAATGGTGAGAGTAAATTTTTTTCAATTACTATTAAAATAACAAAGTTCATTATATTTGTAGACAGATATATGATCCTTTTATCGCTAGATTGTAGTGGCAAATGCCAGGTACCTAAGAGCGCGACACATAGAGCGAAGAGTCATGCATGAAAGTGCAAACCATAACATGTTTTTGTTTTAATTCACTTTTTAATGCATTGCAATACATTTAATAAAAATAATTTCTATAATAAATTTATTTGTTTTCCTCTTTGTACTTTTTGCACATTTTGACGTTTTGTTAAGCTGTGGTGCCACCTTTCCTTCATTTTACTAAAATGCAAATGTGCTTTGTCGTTTATCGTAAAAACTGAGTTAGAGCATCGCATAAACGTTAGCGCAAGCGACAAAATTCGGAACTTTGCGAGCCGACTAATCGTGGCGATAAAAATTACAGAATTGCACTGCTGGCTTTATTGCGAGAGAAATTTCTCGACCACGTACTCTCTCGTCTTGGAGATGTCAACTGCTTATGGAGATCATGTGATATGACACCGTTGTGCTCGTTTTGTGTTGTCATGCGAAGAACTGTCTTTATGCAGACAAAACCTTTAAGTCTTAGGCAGCTGAAGACCAACATTCCTCAAGTTATGGCTGAGGAACTGCCCAATATGTGCCAGAAAGTGAACGAAAAATACGTCATACCTTTCGAAGCTCTCAAAAATTAGTGAGGCGGTCATTTGAATAACGTGGGTTCATGAATTTCATGAAAAAATAATTTTAAATGTATTTTATTTACGTTTTTTTTTCGAAACCGCAAAATAAATAGCCCTGTAAATATGTATGTATACATAAACATATATTTATTTATGTACATGCATACATATAATATAACATACAATAAGTGGAGCGCACATGACGCTTACCAATAACAAAAACAACAACACTAACACCCAATGTATTTATTTATTTCATCGACAATGGGGGTTCCTAGGGGTGAAAATAAACATATATATGTCTATATACACACTTGCATTCATATGTACAACGGCGACGGTCCAAAAGGTTATCATTAACGTCCTAATTATATTATATACACACAATATTATTGAAAGATGTAGGAAAACTCTGCAAAAAGTGGCGGCGACATGCTGCGAAACGAGCGATCGGAACGGTGCGGGGTGTAATGATGGAGGACAAAGTTGCGATTAGAATGAGATTGTTTGGAAATTTCATGAATACAAGTTATGCATTTGTTGTTGCTCTAGTTACTTTTGCAGCTGTTGCTTGTTGTTATACGGTAGAAAAATGAAAAAAAAAGTGCAATGCAAATGAAAATTGTAAATACACACATGTGTGTGTGTGTATATATGCTGACATAAATATACTTATCTGCATACATATTTATATGAAAATGTAATGTGTAAATGCATTTAAAAAAAAATATAAATAAACATATGATAAAATATTACTTTATTCTTGATTTTAACTATTTATTGCCGACCTCGGTCTAGTTATGCCCACGATTGAAACAAATATAGATAAATTTATTAACATTAGGCATATCAATGGCAGGGAAATCACAACTTTTGAGATTATACAAAAAAACATATCGATGCCCGCAAATTTAATTTTGAAACGTAAGTAATAAGCCGAAAAAGCGTAGGTAATAAAGTCTCTTTGCTTTGATCACCAGGTAACCGGGTATTGATAAATTCGAGTATTCTCTGCTGCTCTACAACAACTCAAGCAAAGGAACATCAATGTTTAATTTATTTCAGCAAATTTCTTTGTTTTATAGTTTCGAAAAAAAATGCAGATCTAATTGTTCATGCTCATGCTCGTATTTAAATTCAAAGTAAATTAAATATCAGGTGTACAACTTTGCTTCCGCCGTTTTTTTTTCCAAAATTCAAAGCTTTATTGCGAAAACGTGCTTACAGATATATTATTCAAAGTATTGTCCTTCGCTAGCGACAACTTTCTCCCATCTTTCCGGCAATCTTCGGATCTCGGCTCGAAAAAAGGAGTTCTCTTTTGAAGCTATCCATGAAGCATTCCATTTTTCCAATTCTTCGAAGGATTGAAAATGTTGATCTGCCACCAGGCCGTGTGCCACCGAACGGAATAGGTGGAAGTCAGAAGGGGCGACATCCCATTTCAGCGTTTCCAAGTACTTTTTGACCACTTTTGCGACGTGAGGCCGAGCATTGCCGTGTAGGAGGATGACTTTGTCATGTCGCTCTTGATATTATGGCCGCTTTTCTTTTAGCGCGCGACTAAGGCGCATCAGTTGCGTTCGGTAGCGATCTCCTGTGATGGTTTCACCCGGTTTTAAGAGCTCGCAGTAAATCTTTGAAGGTTTTTTCTCTTCCACCACCATGTTTGTCTTTGACATCGACATCACCATTTTTAAAACGTGGAAACCACTCCCGACACGTTCTTTCACTCCGAGCAGCATCACCGTAAGTTTCTGAGAGCATTAGATGCGCTTCGGCTGCATTTTTTTTTTCGAATTGTAACAGAAAAGTAAAACTTCGCGCAAATGGCGAGAATTAGGCACATAAACGGACATTTTCGACGAAAACAAGAACAACTGTCACTGAAACGGCGATGACAATTCGTTAGGCACTGTCCACACTCACTTTAAAGGAATTATCATCTATGTATTTCAACCAGCCTCAGCCGGTACTGCCACCTATCGGAAAACGGCGGAAGCAAAGTTGTACACCTGATATAATAACACACGTATATCAATTATTTAATATAATAATAATTTATGGCGATAAATCCGAATCTTCAATCTGTTTTTTTTACCATTGATTCCAGCTTCCGATACAGCTAATAACTAATTTCTTTTTTTTTTTTTTGACAATTAATTGTGATTTTGTTAAAATAAAAGTAACAAATCTGAACATAGTCTTGTGTATTGTGTTTTCCAACAGTAATCCTTCATTATGTATTCATCTCAAAATCCTTGATATCGTCTTTAAATGTTGGCTAGATCTGGGTGTGGACGCTCTCCTTCTCTCTCTCCGCGTTCATATCACCTAAAAGTTTGGCAAAAAAAATCGAGGTGGGTATACAGGAAATGTATCCTTCAAGACATTCTAGCCCAATGCTTTCAATAACTTTCATTAAGTAGTGGCGGTACTGCAAAGTTTCTAACAGGACTGTAGATATTGCAACCACGGAAATTTTGACATATTAAGTTATATCAGCATTCATATATATATTTTAACTAAATCCGATCACCGTAACACTTTTCATAAAGCATTGAATGAATAGCAAAAAAGCGGAAGGGAGATATTTGACAAACTTATATNGGTATTAAAATTTACCATTTAGTAAATTTTGTGAGTATTTTGTTTTCTTAGTTCACTGTCACCCTGTAAGTTTTGTTACCAGCGAAATTGGAGGTAACAAACAATCAGCTGTTCGCTTTTATGTTGTTAATTTGTGAAAAAATAAAAAACCAAAATGTATAGACATATTTTGCGTCTAGAATTAATTGAAGATGAAGAAAAAAGTGCAAGAAGAAGAAAAAGAGAAGAAGTGCATATTAAAAAGTTTGCGAGAAAAAATACCATTTCAGTTTGTCATTCAGTATTTTCGCCTAAACAAAACAATTTGTTTTGAGCTTATATATGACAAGGGAGTAGATGTTCATTTTCATATGTAATTTTTACATCAAATTTTTTCTAAACAGAAGACATCGCTGCCGATTTATTTGTGGTTTCTCTCAACAACATATTTCTTTTCCCGCGGGTCGGATCAGGAATTTGTTGGGAGCAATTGTCTAACTGCCACGGGCCAACCTTCCGTTTCGCGATCACTGCATTGAATTTCAAATTTGATTGTTAAAGTAAAAAAGAAAATTTGCT